CAGGACTCTTGGCTCATAAACACACTTGAACCAAGGGAGTGAGGTGTGGGTTGCCCAGGTTTTATTCTGTACAAAGGTTGCAGCAGAGTCCTAATGATTTTCCTGTTACAACAAAGACCAGTTGTACTGCTGTGTGTCTTCCCACTGGGTAAGAACTATTGAAATGGGAGTGTTTGGCCTCTGAAGAAGAAATTTTCAGGGAATAACTTTTTCTTCCACCTTCACGCTCTTAACGGTGAGAACAAAGTCTGTGTCTGGAGTGACCTTGCCACATTTGCTTGTGTTGTGAAGATAGAGATAAGACTGTTTCCCTTTGAAAGTATAAAACTTTTCCCCCTTTGCAGGGGGAAGCCATCGAGAAGCCCCTTCATGCCTTGGTGTTTGGTACTTAAAACATGTGAGTGTATTGGAGAAATCCAACCTTCTCCTTTAGTTCTTCAGCTGTTCTTACTGAGTCTGCTAAGACTGGATGCTTTCCTCTTGTAAATTCCTTTCAAGTACATGTCAAACTTTGTAATGCTAGGAAGGGTGGTTGTTTCTCAGGGACTGCCTGAAAGATTTGGTTTTGATACTGTAGTCTACATGTGTATTTTTGGAGGTATTTGTCCTCTCTAGTTTTGTACTTCTTAAAAATAGTTGGGAATAAAAATAAGCTGGGAATCTGTCAATTTACCCAGTGAAAATGATGATGAATGTTCTAGATCACCTTAGAGCATCCATCCATCAGGAATCAGAGATGATAAAAGTGTCAGGGTCTCATACTGCTTTTATGGGAGCTCTGTGCCAAAGATTGTAAGAAGGAGCTTCTTCCTTTCTATTCTGATCTGATAAAATAGACATTTCCTAGGGTTACATTAGGGGCTCTCCAGGCAAGTGGCTGATGCTGTCTTACACAGTGAAACAGAGATACACAATTTTCATCCTGCTTTTTGATTGCAGCCTTACCTCAGAAGTTCTGGCAGGTCTTTAATGCTACTGGACAATGAATTGCATCATCCTCTTGCTTGGTACCAGCATATCTGAAGGTGTTCCATAGCTTTGTTTCTCACTTCTGCTGCCTTTGAGCCTTTTCAGGGAATTTTGTCACGAGGCAGTGGTGCTGAGTTGTGTTTTTCAGCACAGTGGGATTCTCTGCTCAGCTCTGACCCTTTAGCACCAGGAACTGTGACAGCTCTTTTCTCACAACAATTTGTTAAGGACAGGAATCTTTTTGCAAGGCAGATGAAGCCAATTATTTCAACAGCAGCAGTCACCCTCCTTGCCTTATGGGACAGTCCTGGAAAACAGGTCTGAACCCACTGACAGGGTGGGTATTTAAGGACATAGTTACAGTTTTCTTAATACAGTGTTAGGTGAAACAAACGTGTGTGTGTTACACACACACTGAATTTTTGGAAACGAGCTCATCCTCAGTTTTCCTTTCAGGTGGTTCCCTCATTCACAGATATTTACTGGAGAGAGCATTTCTGCAAGGGCTTGTAAAATTCCTGGTATCTCGTAAGAAAAACAGGACTTTTATATCTGGGTCTCTTGCTTTCTTGGTAATGACTGTTATATTGGAAGAGGCTTTGTCCTCCTGCAGACTTGCAGTGGAAATGTTTGAATGCTGTGCTGAAACAGTGACCTCCAGAGGTTGTGTCTAACCCAAATTAGTCTGTTCTTTTCTTCAGCATATTCACAGTGTAATGAGTTCCTGTAGTAAGAAAAAGCTTGTTCCTGTTGTGCTCAGTGTAGTGGAATAGCAGCTATTGTTGAGGTGACCTATGATATATCTGGGATTTAATTGCTGTGCTCTTGCTGAAATGTGATTCTTCTACTTAAAGGACAGAATCTTGGAGAAGACAGTCACACGAAGTAGAATTGATCTTCTAATTGTAAATGTCTAGACATCTTAGTGAGGGGAGGATGGCGTCTGTGGGATATGGATGTGGAAGGCTGGTGAGTTGTGCCCCAGCTGACTGTGAAGTCAGGGTCAATATGCAAGGTCAGGATAAATGTCAGAACAACCTCTAAATCTGGGCAGATAAATCCCATTTTTAGTGGTTCATTGTGTGTGTTAGGACATGGTTAATGAGAACAAAAGTGCTTTGCTTTAAGAGTGTTTGTATATGGTGTTGAACAGCAACAATCTATGGGCTCTGGCTGCTGAGCAATGGGTGAAGGTCAGGCCAGTCCAACACTGTGGGGTCGAGAATTAACGACGCTGTTGGAGGTCCAAAGATGGGACATGGTGGAGATCTTCAAAGGCTACTAACTATGTATCAACAGAAAGCAAGGTCCTTGTGGGTATTTTCTGCATGAGCATCACTGAAACATCTAAAAGTGCTGGACAGAAGCCCAGCTCCACACCCCTGTGCTTTGGCTGGCCACCAAGCAGTACTTTGGGCAACTGAAATTGGTCAACCACAGAAACTGCAGAGAGGTGTGAGTGGATGAGTATATGTTTGTGCTAGTAAGCAGTTTTAGCAAAGAAGAGTTAAGATGGGTTTTTGCTTTGTAATTTCCTTACTTAAATAAGAGACAAATATTAAGAGCTGATGGTATTATTACTTTATTTAAAAGGTGACTATGTAACACTTTCTACAATACAACTGGAGGCAACAATAGCTGTGGTCTAGGAGGACAGCCCAGGGGGTTGAGTTAAAGTATTTCTTTACTAAATTTTGGTGATTTATTACATCAGATGTTTAATATCCTAATGCTTAAGCTAAAGTCCTTGTCTTTTATGAAGGATTTAATTCTGAACTGTCTTAGTAGCTGTATCTGTTCTGCAGCCCTCAGATTTTCCAAAACATGTTTTTTAAAGCTAGACAAGATGGCACCTAACTGAAGATTCTTGTGATTCTTGGAGGCAAATAACTTGCAAGTAAATCAAACAGGATCAGGGCAAGAACTTACCCTTTGAAGAATCCTTTCTTTTCATTCTGGATTATCTACGGGCTCAGCATCTTGAGTAGTATATATTTGGAACTTTATTTTGAAATGTCTTTTCTGAATCTAAAATAATATCTCAGCCTTGCTGTCTCACCCATCTGAGCATGGTGCTAACTGCTACTGTGTCTGGGAAAGATGTAGTAGCAGGAATTTGGAGATTGCCTGAAGTGCTGTAGTTGGCTTTCCACGCGTTTTCTGCCACGGGCGTGCTTCTTTTCCAGGTTATCAATTACAGGGTTTGTAAACTTGCTGAAGGAGTTGGGTTGCATGATTGCTATCTGGGAGAAAGCTATTTCCCCCTGGCCTCAATAGATCAGCTGTTCCCTTCTTGTTCTGATCCAGCATTGAACATCTTTCTCTTGTGAAAGACTAGGGACATGAGCTGACAGTGACTGTGACCTTGTGTGGTGACTCTTGTTGGGGAAAGATACCAAAGCTGAAGGCTTGGGATTTCGAGCAGTGTGAGTGTCCTTTCCCCTTTTTTTGATGAGGAATAGTTAGAACTTATTTTGCTCCAAGCTGCAATTGGTCTGTGTGAGCTCACATCTGTCTCATATCTGCTCCCGAAATAGCTCCCTGCTTAACTCAAAGTGTGATGCTGTTATGTGGGAACACTTCATACATCTTGCCTGGAGGGTTTCTTTGTGGTTTCAGTCTTCCTGATGAGTTAAGATGCTCCTGTGGTGGATTTGGTAATGTTTGTTTAGGTTGACTCCTCCTTGTGTCAGTGGGGTAGCTGAACACCTCTGGCACCTTTCTGTTTAACCATTTTCTAGATAAATCCTGTGTATTTAGTCTTGCTTGTGGCCCTAGGGTTTTGTTGTTGTTTTTCCCCATGTGGCTTCTTCAGTTTCAATGCAGTTAAGGGATGATGGCTGGTGGTTATTCCTGTTCATTGGTGATATGGGATCTCTGAAGTCAGGAGGCAGCTTTGAATCTGTCATCTGCTGCTGTTTGGAAGGTGGATTTGCTTCTCATGGTCAGGGAGGAAACAGACAGGCTGCATAGATGTAGTAAGAAATGCAGATCACTCCCTACATTTTACTTTGCCACTGCTTTATTGGATGCTGATTCCCTTGACTCTGAAGCCCTTTTATTGCTATTGATCTGTTGTGGAGAGGATCCCCTTGGCACATAACTTAAAGTAGAATTTTAACATACTGATTTATAATCATGATCTGTTCAGGTTGCAGTCATCAAGCAATTGCAATTCTGTGTTACTTGGACCAAGGACAAATTTCATGGATACAGAAATAAAGATTGGTTGTGTCCTGGTCTTGTGCCAGGTCAAGATCTGGGCAAGAGCCATCACTTCTATATTGTGTTTTCCATAGGAAGACTGTTTAGGGGTGTGGGCAAGATAGGAAGGATGTCATACTCCAGCACATCACCAGATGAGGATTTTGAGGTGTACCAGTGCCTGAGTCCTTCATTTTCAGAGAACCAGAGTTCACAGGGAAGTGTTTCTTTTCAGAATGACACTATGACCTTGTAACCTCTGATTCTGGGGAAGATTAATTCATTTAAAAAATTGAAGTATTTGGTTGATTTCTTTAGCAGCAAAACAGACTAGGTAATTCTTTTAACTTTCAGTTGTATTTAGAATAATCAAACTCTTTTTTAAAATTTGTATAAATCAGGTGTCTAAAAGCTGTAGGGGATATGGAACTGCTGTTGTTTCAATCTCAATTTTTTAACAACTTGCTATAGTAAACATTGACTAGAATATGGCATAGTCTTCATGTGTTAATTTTAAGGCCTTCTCTATTTTATGGCTATATCAGGCTTTCATTTAGAATATTCACAAAAGAAAAACATATCTAGTTTTGCTAAGCTTTTTCTAGCTTTTTAACCATTCTAAAAATAAAAAGCTTAAGGTTTTTGTTTGGCATTGTGGTTTCTGTTCCATTTGGAATGCCAGCTACCTGTTTATACTGCTTTTGGGGTTTTTCCTGGTGAAAGGGGAAACCCTTCTGTTGGTGTCTGGTGTGCTAAATCAAGGCAAAAAAAAAAAATTTGTAAAAATATTTGTTTAGTTTTTAAATTTTATTCTTTTTTTTTTTTAGGTAAAAAAAGCCTTTTTTGCCTTGGTGGCAAACGGTGTGAGAGCAGCTCCACTGTGGGAGAGTAAAAAACAGAGTTTTGTAGGTAAGTAGTTTTGACATTTTCCAGGATTACTTGAATTTCCAAGGTGCTTTATTGTTTCAGAAGGTGGTCTGAGCCTGGCCATCATGTAACATCCTAGAGAAATACTGGCAAAGGGAGTTTCTTTTCCCTCCTTGTGAGGAGTGAAATAGTGCCAGCTTTCACAGTGTTGCTGTGCCTTGAGAATTATGATGCTTCTTTTAGGTCCCAACCTTCTGAAATTCAGTCTCTAATATTTGCACTTCAATGTGTATTTAAAAATGAAAGGTCACAGAAAGTAAAATTTGAAAACAGGAACTATAAAGATAATAATTTAATATGCCAGTATCCTAATATAAGTGCAATACGAGCCTGTCTCTGCCTGTGCTCAATAAGGGGCAGAGAGGATCTCTAAAACCAGAACTGAAGCTGCAGAGTTGTCCCATGTTGGGTGAAAAACATTTGCTGTATGTACTGCTTTTTTAAAAATCAGGTCATTAATTACCACAACAATAATTTTGCAAAACTAGGTCTCTGTTGCAGTTAGAAAATGGTGTCACAGTGGCAGTGACAAATAGAATTGTATGTATTTCTTGTGACCTGGAACAAGGGGATTCCTGGAAATGAATGGTAGCTACTTAAGAAAGCATTTGTTAAAATACTTTAAATCCAAGAGGGTAGGAGCAGTCTTGCAGTACACCATAGGAGTGCTGTGGTTTTTATTTTCATTTGATCTCACTTGATGTTCTGTCTGTAACTAAGCTCTACTGATTTAAAGCTGACCTCCAGATTAATTTTTCCCTTCCCCATTTCTTAGTTTCTTCAGTTTAGATGTAGGAGTAGTAAACAGTGGAGCAATTGCATCTTCTCAAGTCTAGAACTTGAAAGCTCAAAAAAGATTAATATTTTCAGGTAACTAAACTAATCATCAATATTATATTACATAGCTTGGTGTTGGTGCTTAAAATATATATATATAGATATAGATATATAATGGATGTGCTATTTTCCTCTTTTGAAAAGTCACGTTTCCATACAGACATTGAGGATTACCATGGAAATGATTGAATGACGTTCTGTAATAAGTAATAGTCAAGAAAATGTATTGTACTGTTCCTTTGTTTGAGTCTAGGAGTCTGCCTGACTTGGCAAGTACATAATCAGAATGTGTCTTATTCAAAAAGAAAATGAAAGGCAAGAATAGTTCTCCAACCTTGAAAAGTGTTCTAAACCTCCTCCTTTTTTTCCATGTTTTTAGAGGTGGATGTGGTCTGAATTCAAGGAGTTTATTGAGTCAGATTGAAAGTGGGTTATAATATTGAATATTGAATACTACTTCAGATGTGTTTTTATTCTGAAGCACAGTGTCAATGTGAAAGTGAATAGACATGGTTTTGAAATCCTACTGTTAAATAGTCCAATACCAGTAGTATTTTACATGGATTTGACATTTATGATGTTATATATTGTGAATAGAAATTGAGAAAATAGCTGAAAGTTCTGTATGTTAAGTATATATCTAAAGACCTGAATTTTTCTGTGTATCACTTGTTACAGGAATGTTAACAATTACAGATTTCATTAACATACTGCATAGATACTATAAGTCTCCAATGGTAAGTATGATGTTAAGCTATAATTTGATCATTTGCCACACAGTACAGAGACTGAAATATCAAACTGAAAGGTTTATGATGATTGTCATTATTATTTAAGTCTTTGGATGGTAACTTACAGAGGCTTGGATGCTGTAAAAAATTACTATTCTAAACAAGTTAAACTAGCTAAATGTATGCAAATATTTTAGTTATGTGGCTGAATTGCACAATCAGTTGGAGATCTGTTGACTTCAATTAACTGTAATTTGAAATTCCCATTGGCAGTCAGTTGATGAAATTCTCTATCTTGCATGTTCATACAAACATTTACATCCCTTTCTTGTTCCTGTCAAATCACAATTCCCTCTCTACCAATTAAAACATATGTACTATGTTTCACTGGCTAAGAAAATCAAGAACAGTTGCATGGAGCAGACATCTGATGTATTTACCTTCTTAAAGCTCATGTTACTTTTTAAAATTTATAGTGAAATTCTCATCAGATGCCAGTAGTGGTGCACTGTCCTTTCTTCATGTTAAAGAATTCTTTTTTTCTCCCTGGGGATTGACAAGGAGTGGAGGGAGGAACAAATGAAAAGTTCTTGCACACTGGTGACTTCTTTAAAATTGTTTCCATGTTGTAATGACCCTCTAAATCAATATTACTGATTTTTCCATGAGACTTTACCTAATGAGTTCTCACTCATTTACATTGCCTAAAGTCCTATTCACAGGTTCTGCTTAAGCTGGCAGCAGTAAGGAGGAATAGCTGAGGAGGGAAAATATCTGACTTAAGTAACTGATGCAGTCTTCTCTAAGAAAAATAAATAAATGTTCTGTCAGGGAATGCTCTAATTTTAATAGGTGAAATTATGCAGAAAATTGAATTCTTAAAGTATTTTATTCATTCTTTCTGAAAGCATCAGGACATACAATATGAAGCACATTGCTACTCATGTGCTGGATAATATCCACCATTGAGTGATGGGGAACATCCAGGTAGTTTCTCCCTAAAGAAGTGCTCTTGCTTGGTAGTGACCAGGTAACTTTATTCTGTTAGCATTAAGAAGCCAGGTGATCAGGGTAAGCTTTTTACTGGTGTGGGTGTGTGAGCAGTCACCCAAGGGATTACCCTGGATAGTTGTTGCAAAGTGTTACAAATTACTGAGGTGATGCCTTTGAGTCCAGAAAAGAGCTGGACTACAAACCTAGGCCAGCAAAGGCTTTCTTGTCCCCTGAAATGATAAATCCAGGATTGTACTCTGCATTAGGGACAGGATTGCACCCTTTCTCCTTACAAGAAATTATGGACTGTTCTTACTCTGTTTGATTTTTGGCAATGAAATAAAAGAAAATTATTCGGATTGTTACAAGTTAATGATGGATTTAAAATTAAATTACTTCAAGTTGAATTTCCATCTACTCATTGTAGGTTCAGATTTATGAATTGGAGGAGCACAAGATAGAAACCTGGAGGGGTAAGAATATTTACTACTTGGTTGATAATTTACTAGGTTCTGATGTTTTTCAGCATAGCGGATTTTGAATTCGTCATAGACTTCTCTCCACATATTCTTTAATGAAAGCAGAAATACTAAAAGCTTCTATTTTGGCTCCTATTCCTTATTTTTTTATCTGAAACAGCTGTGGACTGGTGATCTGGGCTGTACAACACTTTGCCCCTCATTCATGGCTCTTTAAAAAAGGAAAAAAGCGACTGCAGTGAGGCAGTGTGGAGTGGGAACGAATAGAGCTGTGCCCGAGTGATCTGCACAATGCAGCCAGAAATTCGTGCAACATTCTGGGTGTGAGCAGAGGTGCTGATTGCAGGGAGGCAGCTCTGGGTAAAAAGTAGTCTGTATCCCATGGAATGATAGGTGGAGGTATCTGTGTGCAGCAGACACTCACAGAACCAGAATGAGTGAAGGATTATTTGTTGTAATTGTAGTGACCTCTGCTGGTATCAAGCTTAATCCTGCTTTTAAATTTTATGTCTTTTTAATGTCAGTATACAGCACTGTGCATAAATGGCAGAATGAATAACTGTAAATTGCTGTCTGCCACTTAATTTTGTGTGAATGAATTCATGAAATGCTTTCATAAAAGAGCTGATGTTTTCGTGTGAAGTGGTAACAGTCTATTAATTTTCTATCCACAGAGCTTTATTTACAAGAGACTTTTAAACCTTTAGTGAACATCTCCCCAGATGCAAGGTAGGACTTCACTGTTCAGTCTTAGCTTGAGTTACACTAACACTGTTTCAACTCTGATTTTAAGGCCTCTTTAAGGTCTCTTCTCTATCTTAAGAAACAATTTGTATTACAAACCACAGTACAATAAAGAAGGACTGTCTTTTAATCAAGAAAAGGGGTAAGAGCTTTTTTTTTTAATTGTGAGTGAAGACATTTTAGATTATCAAAAAAAGGGAATTTTTAATTAAATTTTTGCCGTTTATCAGCATAACTGTTCTGGTAAATGAGCTAGACATGGGTCAAAATTAAAATGCAGAACAGGCAATAGGATGACCCTTCAAGCAAGCCTGCAGGTCATCTTTATTTTATGAAAAAACAAAAAAATAGCCCTTCAGCTGTCTTGTTCTCAACAGTCACAGTAATTGGAAACTTAAAGTCCTTTTCAAGGCAAGTAACTTTCCTTAACTAAAGGAAAGACAATATCTCTGTGGTTTGTTCTGCTCTGCTATAAGGCTCTGTTTCTTAAAATATAAATGACTGTCCGTTTCTTCTTGATAGAAGTTAAAAAAAATAGTTCTTAAACTGTCATTATCCCTTATTTACTAAATAACTTGAGAGGGGGATTTAGTTGATCACTTAAATCTTGAGTGCTATTATGAATAAATCATTCAGTTCAGTTGTGAGGGATGAATTTTGAATGGTGGCAGGTTGCAAATAATATTGTTAAAACAATAAAATAGCCTTAATTGTTTTCAGTCAGAGGTGCAGCACAAGAAGCCTTGCCATAAAGAAGATGTAGTAAAACTTTTATAAAAGGTTATGGCAGGTCAGCTTCAGACCTGATCCAGAGATGGGCTTGGGTTCTGTGACAGACTGCAGCACTTGGGAATTGTTAAATGCTTACTCCAGGAGTGGAGTCTGCAGCAGTGGGGGAATCTTGGCTCTGTGTGCATTAAACGGGGCCATTTCATCCCTGTGATGGACTCAGAACACACACCTTGTGTATGGGAAGAAGCCTGCTTCAGCAAGGAGGTGTTTATCAGAGTTTTACCAACTTTATTACTTGCTAATTTATTGCAGTTGCTAGTCAGCTGCTTTATCATGGCCTTACTACACCAAGGGAAAAAATAAAAGTGTCACTTGCAAGAAGAGCAGATTTGCATAGGTTGGAGTGTTGCTGCATCCTAGTCTGCAGTACATGAGAATGTTTTAGATCTCCTAAGGATCATTTTTTGCCAATCCCCAGTGATAATTCAGTGAAATTATTAAATAATTGTTTGAGGTTATTTGCATATATACATGTAGCTATAAAAATGCCCTTTGTAGAAAAGGTTATAGAAGTTTGGGACTGAGATTCATTAAGTGCAACAGCTCCATTTTTTCAGTTTCTTTTAACAGAAAGACCCATTATGAGTGCAGGGATACTGCAAGCACAGCACTTACTGGAAAAAACAATTCACACTTGTGAAGAAATATTTTTTCTGTACTTTGTACCACAAAATAAACTTTACATTAAATTTTCTTAATAGATTTAGATTTCCATGAGGATATAGTTTCTGATGTGTTGCAAAGCAAAAACCTGCAAAAGTTAGTTTTAAATCCCTCAACTTCTGTTTTTTATAGCACTAAAGATAACACAAATAATTACCACATATACTTCATGTGGATTTATAGATGTGTATATATATTATTTGGCATTACTTGTTGTTAGCTAGAATTCATTAACAAAATAAAATGTTTTTCTCCTCAGCCTTTTTGACGCTGTATATTCATTGATCAAAAACAAAATCCACAGATTGCCAGTTATAGATCCAGTCAGTGGAAATGCACTTTATATACTTACCCATAAAAGAATCCTCAAGTTCCTCCAGCTTTTTGTAAGTATTTAAAGCTATGCTGTGCTTAACTGATTTTTCCCCACAGTAGACCTCTGATATAATGAAGTAATTAAAGTCTTAGTGCAGAAATTTCATAATGGACTTCCATATTCATTGTGTCTTTCTGTATCTTTTATTTGTAACAGGGAAATTCAAGTTTGATATAAGGCCTATATTTTACCTTTACTTTGTTTTACTCCTTTAAATAAACCTTAACACGAAGGACTTGTCTATTGGAGTAATTTGCTGTTGTTTCTGGAACATCTCCTCAGCTTCAGGAGTTTGTTTACATGAAAAGAAAAATGAATTGTCTCCCAGAGATGAGATTGTCATTACTCTCTGTAGTAATGTTAGTCACAGCAATGAACAGGAGGCCAAACAATGCAACAAGAATAAATGTTCAGATTAATGTTTTCTATCTTCTCTCTCCAGTTTTAGTGGGAATGACATAGCTTAGGATCTACAGCTTTTAGTGATGTGTTGCTACAAAAAAAAATGGAACAAAAATCCTGGTTACATTGTCTTAATTTAGAGCTGCTTTAAACAGAAACCCCTTAGGTTGTTTGGGTTTTGTATTAATCTGGTATCAGGAAACTGCAGTGACCATCACTTGGAATCTGCAGACGGATGAGTGAATGTCAGTGTAAATCAATTCCTTTTGATTCCCCTAGATGTCAGAGATGCCAAAGCCTGCCTTTATGAAGAAGAATCTGGATGAACTTGGAATAGGAACTTATCACAACATTGCCTTCATACATCCAGACACTCCTATCATTAAAGCCTTGAATATATTTGTAGAGCGAAGGATATCGGCATTACCTGTTGTGGATGAGTCAGGTGGGTACAAGAGTGGGGGAAGAGAAATGCTGCTGAGCCCTGGGCTGATGCTGGGGCAGAGGGGAAAACACAAGAAACAGTAAAAAAAAAAATCATTAAAAAAGCATGGGGGAAGAAAGGGAATATAAAGAAATACTTATGCAAATATAGGTTGATGATCTTGGAAGAATTTAATTATTGGTAGTTTGGGGCTTTTTTTTTCAGTCTTTCTTTCTTGACCTGTGATTTCTTTCTGTGTAATTATAACAGATGAAAGCAGGAAGCAAGAAAACTGATACTGTATTTTAAGCACTTTGTTAACTTTGGTTTTTCTTTTCTTTTTAGGAAAAGTTGTAGATATTTATTCCAAATTTGATGTAATAGTAAGTATATCTCTTAAATTCTATTCAATATTTTATATGTAGTAAGCATTTGCAAATTAATTTGTTAATATGATAGTTTTATTTTGTTCCTTTGACTGTAACTAATAAATAGAATGAAAGAGATCAAATTCACCCTGCACATAATTTTTTTTTCTTTTTATTACTATTTTTATTTAAGTTGTCCTTAGTAGTACTATTTGCACACAGGCTTTTACTGCTCTGGATGTTACCCAAAATAAGATCTGGCTGGGCATAATCCAGAGGAGGGGATCAAAGCTGGTGAAAAGGCTGGAAGGAATATCCTGTGAGGAATACCTAAGGACTCTGGGTTTGTCTGGTGTGGAGAAAAGGAGGCCAAGAGTGATGGGCTCAATGCTCTTGAGGCTTCCTAAGGGGGGAAGTGGAGAATGAAGTGCTGAGCTCTTCTCCCTGGGATCCAGTGACAGGAGTATGGGAGTGGTTCAAAGCCACACTGCAGGGGTTCAGATGGGGCTTTAGGAAGCATTTCTTTGCCAAGAGGTGCAGAACACTGAACAGGCTTCCCAGAGAGGTGGTCAATGCCCCCAGCCTGTCAGTGCTCAAGAGGCACTTGGGCAGTGCCCTTAATAAAATGCCTCAACTTTTGCTCCTCCCTGGAGCATCAGGCTCTTGGACCAGGTGATCATTGTAGGTCTCTTACAGCTGAACTGTTCTGTTCTTGTTGGTTTCTGTTTTTGAGTGAGGACTTCCTTTTTCCAGCTGCTGCCACTCCAGTGTGTTCTTAAAGAGAATGCAGATGTCTCAGTGCAGTCTGAGTACTTTGTACAGCTTGACTTTCTCAGTGATGTAAAAACTACTTGGCCCATTCTTTTGTGTCTCTGACTCCAAAGCCTTGCATCCGTATTCCTTCTGCTTTAGATCTAATCCAGGACACTGTTTCTGGATTTTCCTCGAGATTCCAGTTGCATACTCAGATTCATGCCATGATTTACCAGCCTCAGAGAGCAAGGGCTCTTCTATTCTCATGGCTTTCAGAAACTTGAAAAATACATATTTTTTTTTATCCCTGACCCCTCCCAGCAGTGTGCCCCTGCTTCCTAATTGCAGCATCTGACAGCTACATTATTTCCTAGAGATTTCACTGCCCAGGTTGCCACTGACCAGCTGCACTAGTGAAGAATCCAGATGTCTGAAACACAGCCTAGAAGGCCTTCAGTAAAATGAAGAATAGTCCCAAGTGGAAATACCTTAAGCCTATAAATCTCTCTGGCTGCAAACATTGTTCTTAATACTGAAAATTCTGTGATGTCACTGTTCTTTCATCAAATGCCTGTCATTTCTAGGCATTTGTCTTCATTATTTGGGATTCTCTACTGTGTAAGATCCTCTTCTGCAATAAAAGCTTGTCAGGGAATAGGCAGTAGCTGTGGAGAGAATGACCTGATGTATAAATGACAATGAAATTTCACAGCTGGTGGATTCAGTGTTTCAGTTTATTTTGTAGCTGTGTTAGGTTTTGAGCCAGGACATGTTTCCTTCATGTCCCATTCTTCTTCAGAAAGACACTAAAAGGAGGAGGGCTCCTTATGTGTTTCACTTCTTTTCTCATTTTAAGTGATGAGGTAACATATAGAATCATTTATCTGGGAAAAAATATGTACTGGGTACTGAATAAAACCCCCAAACCACAAAGATATAATTTTAAATATATTATTGTTTTCATCCAACTAGTAACATGGGAAAGAGTTAGGGCATTTATTGATTACTTGGGATTTTCCTTACATGTCCTAGTTCGCTTATTAAGTTAGGGGGAAAAGATTCTGTTCTTAAAAGATAAACACCTCTGAGCTTCCAGATTTCATCAGTCTGCTTCAACCTGATCTTCAGCTTTAAAAGATGAAAAAAAATTGATTTCATCTGTAGTATATTATCTGATCTTCCAATAAATGTAGAATTTCCAAGATGTTGATTTTTAACTTGTAACCATGTGGCTGATATCCTTGCTTGGTGGTTGAAGGCATGTCTGTGTATGCAGCTGTCTCAATTGATAGATTTCTTTCATTTTTAGAGTTGTGAATTAATTTTCAGGTTCTTGACTGGGGAAACCTGGTAATGGAGTGATGTGTAGGAATAGCTTTATATTGCACCAGTTACTGTGTGTAGGGTGACTTCAGTTTGCAGAGGTTTTTATGTCCTCTCAATGTCCTTCATTAGGACCAGGTTAAAATAATTAACTAAAATTGTTTTTATCTTCATGATCATCTTGAATTGTCACATTTGGTGTAATTCAGTCAAAAAACTTGACCTGTGTATCGTCTAGCCAAAAATTAATTTAATTGTATTGCTTGGTCCAATGCTTTCATTTAAAAGCTCTGTCATTGTTCTTCCTACAGTGCCTCAGCAGCAAAATCAGTAGGGGTCTCACCTACAGAAACTTTTTGCAGGTCTGGACAGAGTCCTCTCACTGCAGGCATGATCCTATCCTTAGAATGAAAGTTTAAAATGTCAGCTTTCAAATTCTTTTAATCTCTTCCCTTTAGTGGTATGGATGGGATTTCATTGTTATTATTCTTACAGTACTTATTAAAATACTCATCTACTCTGTGGGTGGTGTTCAGAACAGTTGGTGTCTTCCCCTGCCCTGTGAAAAACAAACAGAAAAAAAAATTGTATATTCTGTGTGGTGTGAAATCTGAGGAGTTTCACCTTTGCATTTGCTGATCGTGGCAAAAGCAGAATGAGTGACACCAAGCCAAAGATGAGATACAAAGTAAGATTTTCACTGGCCTAATGCATAATACCAGTTTTATCAATTAACCCAGGATGTCAGATGGTGTTTAGCATCATTGTGCTTGACAGTTCCCAGAATCTGAAGCTGAAGAGCATCTGCTTTGTTTAATATGTTACTTGGAATGGACTCAACTTAAACCAGAAATGCCTATCTGCTTGATGCCAAAATATTTATTTTATTAATTACTTTATTACTAAGTATTGAGCTGTCTGATGTGGCCTGGGTTTGTTTTTGGTTTTTTTTGCAGAATCTTGCTGCTGAAAAAACGTATAATAACTTAGATATCACGGTGACACAAGCCCTACAGCACCGCTCTCAGTATTTTGAAGGTGTTGTAAAGTGTAGTATGCTGGAAACACTGGAGACCATTGTGGATAGAATAGTGAAGGCTGAGGTGAGTCCCTACATAATAAGTTACAATTTGTGTTATGAAACTGGCAAACAGTACAAATTTATCTTCTTTAAGTTGTTTTGATTGCTTGGTGGAAGTATTTTTTAATAATTGTGTGTGTTAGGTCTCAGTCTGCTCTATAGACTCGTGTTTTAGATGCTTATAGGGATGTGCAAAATATTTTACAGTGTACCTGTAATAATACTCAGTTATTTGTTCTGTTTATTTCTGTTGTATGACATTAACTAAACTGAGTGCAGAGCTTTCCCAAGTTTCTGCCAAGCCTGTCATAAGTTTTGCAAGTAAATCATTTGTTTAACTCCAGTTTATAGCTTGGCTCAGGAGATTTATTGGGTGCACCTCATTTTGATGCATGATGGAATCCTGCACTGCTCTCACAGAAACACAGTGAAACAGGACCATAAAGTAAATTCTTGTCAAGAAGCTTTCACTAAATGCTCTTGTAAATTTTTATCTGTGTGCTGTCCAGTCTTTTGGTGCAGTTTGTCTATTTGTTAGTACTGGGAACTTCTTACAGGAAGAGGTCAATGAGTTTGTAGGTCTTCCTCCCCTGTAAGGCTTCTCTGCAGAAGGAAATCAATATTCCCAGTTTCAGTCCTCTCTGGGGTGTGATCAGCTCCATTTAGATGCTTTAACTTCATCAATTACAAGATTTACTAATTTTTTAGGGTTGTAACCAGGCATTTACTTGATATGAGGAAAACTTCCACTTTGTTAATAAGCCCTTACAACCTCATTAGGCAATTTGAATTTGTAACTTTCTGCATTTGCTTGAGCTTCCTCCTGAATTGAACAATTTTAGCATTCCTGATACACAGATTTCAAACTTAGATTATTTTATTACTATCTTAAGAAGCTTTAGACATTTGGGTTTTAAGAACAACTCCTACCCTCTCGTTCAGTCTAAACACAGCGAGATTACATGTAAAAATGAGTCAGTCAAAACTACTACAAAGTTATTTTTAGCTGCCAGACAACTGCTTGATCTTACAAGCAATTCAACAAATGAAACATTGTCCATTTTTCTTGAATTCATTACACAGAGAGAGGAATAAAATTACTAAATACGTGCATATGCTGAAATTAATAAACCTGTTTAAAATACCACCAGCAGAGTCTTATCAAAAAAAAGATATTTTCTCTCAACTTAATAGTGAAGAAAGGTAATTCACTTGGATAAAAGTAAACATGTAGTAGGCTCTAAACTTTGGACAGACAGTTCCTGGTTCTGCAGTGGCCTTTCACAGCTTGCTCTGGCCAATAAGCCTCAGGATACAGGAGTATCCACCTAATTTCCCTACAGTTAGGACAAAAGTTTTGTGGTATAAAATGTTCCATAGAAGAGGTTTGTAAGGATAAGGCCATTATTTGAAAATATGGTCTTACTGTTGATAAACCTTTCTTACAGGTTGTGTTCTTGTGTTTATTTGCATAGATAAATTGAATCCTTTTTCTGTCTTAAGCAGTCTGTTTAAAACTAATTGTTTTAAAACCAATCTGGCACTCACTTTTCATTGTGTAGCCCTGTGAGAAAAATTAAGTTAGAACCAACTCAGAGATGTCAAAAGACAATAAGTTTTAGTGTTGTGCCTCTCTGCTGAGGAAGTTAGGAAGTATTTTTTAGAAGGAATCCTTGTTTCATTACTGTGTCTAATTTTTTGGAGACAACAGGCTGAGCTGGGCAGAGGCTGTAACTTGGGGGAAAAGTGTTTGATGTGAGTGCCACATTTTCAGAGCAGAAGTATTTTCAAGACCTAGATCTCAACTTACCTGTCACTTCATATCAGATTCTGTGGCCGAGTAAGATAGCTGTGTGCTTTTTAAACATGCACTATTTTCATTTATGTAGGGCAAGCATGTTTGTCTTGCTGTGAGAGAATTGCTATTCCTGACATTTTGAACCATTTTGGGTTGTTTTTTCCTACTTGTCTTCATACTGCTTTACTTCAGCGGTTTTGTTTGTTTCTTTGTCTGTTTTTCTTTGCTTTTGTCTACTTTAAATTGGGTAAATACATCTCAGACTCTTCTCCCTGCTGGCAGGTTCATCGTTTGGTGGTAGTGAATGAAGCTGATAGCATTGTGGGTATCATCTCCCTTTCTGACATCCTACAAGCTCTGGTACTCACACCTGCAGGTATGGATCTGCCCTGGGGCCTTGCCATGAGGCACTGGTGGTGTGCACACCCTGCTGGATTTCAGTTATTTCAGTGATAAATGTCTGATTTTCAGCTTTTGTGACTGATTATACTTATTAAATACACAATTCATTTCAGGAAAAAGCTGTCAGAATATTAAATGTCAATCTCCTGTTCACTGAGGAGGGCATGCAGAAGCTTCATGAATGTCCCTGCTGTTCATATATCTTTTCTGGGGAAAAACATGTCTTGATTAATGTTTTAAGTGAGTGAAGCAGAATGTATAGACAACATCTACAATAGGGCACCTTCCCCACCTTCTGAGTTTAAGTTTTGCCTGAGTTACTAACCTGCTTTATGCTCTTAATTGTAACTTCACTTCAACCTCATAAATTACTTCAGTGTCACAAGAACTAAAGCAAAGCCCTGCTTTAGCTCTGTGAGGAAGGCAAAATGTCTTGAAGATTATTACCATTTTGCCTCCAAAAAAAACCAAATCAGACAAATAGAGCCAGATACATAGAGACTTTTTAAGGATGTGAGCTTAACTGAAATCTCATACCTGCCCTGATAGATGGCATAATCGTGTAGAAGTGTTTTTACCTCCATAGACTTTGAAAAGAAAAAAAAAAAAGGTAATGTACCTTGTTCAAGCAGAAATATTTCAGTTCTGAAGAGAAGTAATCAGCGATACTGCTGGAGGTGTTGTCAGTACATCTGGTTCCTTTTAATGACCTGGAAGAGCACGAGCAGAGCAAGGAACCCAGCTCTGGGTAGCCTTCTACCCTAGAAGGGTCTGGATTTTAGTGTATGAGTGGATGCCCAGGAAAGCAGATTTTAATGGTAATGGTGCAAAGTTCAGACAGGAAGGATGCATTTGGATGCTGACAAACCAAGAGCTTTGTTGTACTGAAGTTACATGGACACCTACGTTGGAACTCTGAGCTGAGCTCAAAGTGCTCTGGAATTGTTGCAAAGGGCCGTTCCTGCTCCCACTCTGGGCCAGCAGCATGCTCTGAGATCCCTGAGCTGCTGTAACTCACTGAGTTAACGGGAAACTGAGCCAGCAAAAAAGCTGCAGTTTAGTCAGCCTGGCACGCTGAACCTGCCCACAGAACAGTCTGGTACTGAGGACGGGGGTTAGAGCAACAGAGAGGGCAGGGTTACACCACTGGAAAAGAGGAGGTGAGGAAAGGTGGTTCTGGGGAGCAGTTAAGCATCAGACTGCATTTCCACAGGCAGCTGCCCAGTTTTAGACTGGAATTTTTCTCATGCAGGGAGAATGTCTGCGATGTAAATCTGATTTGTAGAGTATGAAATGCGACTTTGCTCCTAAGAACAGCAGATAAATCACGTCCAGTTCTCTTCACAGACTGAAAAGGAAAATTTACTGACTGGCAGGAATTAAGACCAGCCTGTGTTTAGGAAAAAATTAACAGCTGTGATGTGAAAACTGGATGTATTAATGAATATTTCAGTGTTTGATTATACATTACAAGTAGCAACTCCAGGTTTCTGGGAAGAGATTCTTATTCTGTAGAGCTGGCTGCTGAGTTCAAGCTCACCATAAAGTTCAGTCATTGCTCAGCATGTTTGAGTACCTGGAGAACAGGTGAGATGCTACACAGTCCTGCTGGACAGGTCTCTCAGATCCCTGCTGTAAGCAAAATCTGCCTCTGAGCCAGGAAAAATGGATCCATCAACACAGTGTAGTTAAACTAAATTCTCACATAGTTTGTGCTCAAGAGGGATTCATTTTTTGGGGGCTGTTACGATGATGAAGCTTGGCTCTAAGATGAGGGACAGGTTTGCGCTGTGGGTTTTTAAACTAATGTTTTTTTGTGCTGGGGAGAATCTTCACAGGCGCTTGGAGTAACTTCCCAGAAGGGTTACTTAGACTTAGCAATGAAATTAAAGCTGTGATGGTCTGGAGCTTCCCTTGCTGTGTCTCACATTGACATTTAGCAGTCCTGCAGTTTATTCTTTAGAAATGTTGTATTCAGTACTCTGATTCTGGTGATGTGATCAGGGAAAGTTGCAGCAATTGGAATGAGCTTCTCCAGTTTTGTGTGCCTAAGGAAATGACAGCTGCTTTCCTCTTCTGTTCCCAGGTGCCAAACAAAAGGAGAACGAGAGCGAATGACTGCTGTGAATGTACACGTTTGTAGAACTTGAACAGAGTTTCTGGGTCGTTTGTCTCAAGAGCAGTGACTGCAATGGAACAGAGCAGGATGGTTGAGAATGTGTTTTGGGACTTAGTGATGGATGATGAGTCTCTTCCCCCCAGTGATGTCGCAAAAAAAGCAGCATGACAAAAGCTTATGTTAAAATGTAGGCTCATATTTCAAAATGTCTTCAAAACATTTGCTGGAAGACTTCACATGATGTCCTTCATTAAAATGCACTGTATTCTGAAACTTTTTCATTTTGTATTTGACAGAAGTCACTGGTCAGCAATGGATATATGTGACATAAGGCAAGTGTATGGCATATTCATATCATAGTGCCTTATGTCAAAATACAGCAATATGTCATCACTGTTGCCCATCACTGTCAAAGGAAGTGTTGTGCTAAACGAGACACTGTATTTGAATGTGAAAGTCTTTAAACCTAAAACCAAATCAGTTTCAGTTCTCATTAGATTTGTCATAAAAGCTGTAATTTGGGTATTGGTAGACTTCTTTAAAACTTCAATGACAGTTTTGTGTTCAATGTTGCATTCTGAACTGAAGTGTAAAACAAGACTGATTTAAAAACAGCTTTATTTATTTTTACTTTCATGACAATTTTTTACACATCTTTGGTGGATAGCTAAAATTTCACCATATCCATTAATAAACTGTTGATTGTTATACAAACAAGTGGGAGATTTTTCTCATTATTTAAAACTTTGGAGTTGCAGAAGCTGTGCCCTGTTCACCAGTCTTTGTTACTTGAGCTGAAGATTTCGGAAGCGTGGATTGAAAGTGCTCTGTCATACACAGGCACCACGGAGGAAATGAGGTGCCAGAGGACAATATTTTCACCTGTATTAAAGTGTAAAATGATGTTTGTACAATGAAAACCCGAAACTTTTTATTGTATATGATTTGTACAGAAGTGGAGGAGTGAGGAAAGCTGTGGGATATTTGCTAATGTAAATGTACTGTAAAGTTTGAAGATGAGACTTTTATAATTGTAGATTCTTGTAGATGGAAGAAATTAAACCCTACAACATCAGTTTGGTTTTAGCAGTTCGTGCCAAGTTCTTTCGCATGTATGAATGTACATGCATTGGGATTAGTGCAAACCAGGAGCATTCTTACTTTCCTTCAAATTTAAAGGTGGCTTATGTTGATGGAATACTGCAGTAAGACTTCTGTACTGTGTTTCCAGCCTGAATACTGCACTGGAAAAATGCAGGAGAGGGATACATTATTTTTCCATTTATAAATGTGGAGGTAAAAGGTGAACAGTTTTCAGTTTGCTTATGAAATGTAAATATAATTGTAATAATAGTAATGAAAATATTTCTTCAAAATTTTTCCCCTTCCTACAAGAATTTAAATTTTGAACTAAATGTGTAAAAACTTCCTTCTTACAGGTATCTTTCATGACTAAAAGTATTCCTGTAGTACACGATGGAAACTGTTCACTTAAGACTTTCTTCCACTTTCTTACCATGTGAAAAACATTGTCAAGTCTTCTCCAGCACCTTTTCTGACTGGGTAAATATTGACTCTGTTCCCTGCAATTCCTGATGATACTGAACTGGAGCACTGTCCTAAGTGCAGCAGCCTGGTGCTGGTTGCTGCCATCAGAGCTGCCATCAGCCCAGCTCTGATAATCCTCGTGTGGGAGATGGAGTGATTTAAACTAAAAATAGTGGCTCTCATTCTTCATAGGGTGTGTGGAGGGGAGAATTTGTGGTAGGTAACTGATTAAGGGTAAGTGGGCAGTAGTGCTGCCTGCAAATGCCACACAAATCACATAGAAGCAGCTTTGTGAAAGGCAGGATTCTGCTCCAGCACAGGCACTGCAGCCTTCTCTGGGAGATGGGGTGGCAGGGAGGTGCCCAAAAGCATGGTGAGATCTCTCTATCACCCAGCTGCATGAGCACATTCTTCAGCACTCTGGTCAAGGTATTTTTAAAGATAAGGGTTGAACCACTGATAATTTTTTTATATATATATATTTTTATATATATATATTTTTTATATATATATATATATAATATAAATAATATAATACATATATAGATACAGTAATTATATTAGTAAAAGATAAAATATATAAATATTTTAATATTATATTTATATAAAAATATAAAATGTATTTATTATATTATTAACTATAATAAATGTATATAAATATATAAATACTATATTATTTATATATATATATTTTATATACAGGGACAAATTCTTCTGTCCCTGTTCATGCAGATGCTGTGGGCTTGCCTTCTTGCTGCAGTGTGCAGAAAGCCAGAATGAATTTGCAGTTTTCAGATAGCCACGTACAAGCTTCCCATTTTCACATTATTACAACTGCTGTTATCATGTGGGCACAGGACTAGCAAAATTATGGAGAACAGCCTCTTCAGTGGTACAAAACTGTGTTTAGAGAATTTCCACCCTTTCTTTCTGGAATTCAGCTCTGAAGTCTGCATTTGTGAGTGGCAGAACTGTGATGTGACCCCACCAGCATGAATAAACAGCAGTGCCATCAAAATACACTCTGCTTGTGCTGACACAAGTGCCAGTGCTGATGAAGTTAACAAAACTAAAGAAATTGTGTCGTTTTTAATACAGATCCGTTTTCTACAGAGCTAGAAAAATGCTTGTTCCAGCATAAGGAAGGGACAGGAGTAAGTAAATGAGGGTAGAGAGAGGAGGGGTGACTCAGCAGGGCTGCTGCATGTTCCACATTAAAGGGACAGTGTAATAAAGCTTCAGTCTAGGGCTCTTCATGTAGCTCATTAGAGGTCTCAGCCATGAAAGAGAATAAATAAAATGTCATTAGACTCCAGTTCTTGTGCATTCTCCCCTCTGGACAGGCAGCAAGCTGTACCTATAGACCTGAGACCACAGCAACAGCTCCAGAAGCTCCTTGTCAGAGACTGGACCATGCTGCAGATGGAAGTGTCAGTAAATGTCCCCTGTGACTCCTGAAAGCCTGTTCAGTAGTGCAGGTGAAGAAATGAGTTCTATTTTAACCAGCAGGACTGTAATAACATGTGATTGATGCCTTTGCTTTCCTGCGCATTTCCTTGCCCAGCAAGAGATGTCTGTGAAAGATAATTATTCTGAAGGTCTTGTCTTGGAAGGGCTTTTACCTACTCTAGATATTTTTAACTGCTTAGGTGTAAGAAAATGGTTTTTAGTAGACTTTGGCCCTCAGTATTTTTCAGTACTTAGAGATGCTCTGAACTGAGGAAAAATCACCCTTTGCTGACATTGATGAAAAACATTTTCCTGTTTTACTTCTGGAATCCTTTAGGTAAAAGGTCTGATATCAGACAGTATTTGCTCTTTGCTAGGAAGTGAATTCCAATTGTTGTGTATCTGAGACCTATTCATCTTTTATTAAGGGATACTGTTGTGCTGGGAATGTTGGATTAAAACATAAAGAACAAGCCTTGATTTCCAAGGCCTGAGCTCTTGTCCTCATGGCAGACAGGAGGAATCTGACTGAAGCAGTTCCAAAACTCCACATGGAGAACACTCCTTGTCATTTTTAGAATGAGTGTATGGGTAAGTTGGAGTTTTTCAGTTTTGGTCCAACTAGAAGTGAAACCACACGTGCTTAATCCTTTCAATCAGGCCCTGTAACTGCTCCCACTGAGTTCTGCAGGCAGCTTTAGAAGTAACCAGTTTACTGCTAAAGTTTCTGTGAACTTTCACCCATATTGAACACTTATTAAAGGTAATTTCCAGAGGAAAATGCCATTCCGGACAATTTAATACTACCCTTGTACCCACATAATGCATTTATGCAAAAAGAATGTTCTGCAGACACTGCTCTTTACTCTTCACTTCAGGACTTAATTTAAATGTGGTTTTGAAAGTCGCTTTCTTGGTACTCATTTGTTTTCTGGTGGTTGCAGTCAGACCTGTTCCTGCTGAAGTGAATGGGCAGGAGGTGACCTGTACTCACACATCAAACTCATTCCTTTAGAAAAAACCCTGTGGAATGTGTGTCCCTGCCAGCTGCACACCATGACCTGTAGGGTATCAACCCATGGTGTCAGCAGCCCCTCTGAGCTGAATTAGTCCCTTAATTTGCTTCTACTAATATTTTGCCAGTGTTTCTAGCCGAATATTGCAAAACACACTCACTGTGAAAAGGCAGGAGGGAACAGAAACAAGTGCAAGGCTGAATTGAATGTACTTTGTAACCTCTGCAGGCAGCAGGGGCTGTGCTGTGCCTGTGGAAGCACGCCCAGTGCAAACACTGGACACACTTCAAAACACTCTTTGGGAAGGCCCCGCTTAGCTGAAGGACAGAGCAGGTAATTGTGCTGGTAATTGCTGCTGCAGGAATTGAAAGTACGAGTCAGAGCTGTTCTGCATTTGGGAGCTCAGTAGCCAGGTGGCCATGGGTTTGCATGTACTGGATTACTGTAAAAATACTTGACTGTTGAGTTACCTTTACTATGTGAAATCTATTTGGTTCTTTGTCCATCAGGAAAAGGTACATACAGGCAACAAAAGGAAGTCATGCACCGTTTGTCCAGCCTCCCTCAACACCCTGATCTCCCTACAGACACTCACTCTACCCCTGCTTGCTGTTTTCCCCTTTTTCTTGTCTTTCAGTTGATGTGTTGCACTCTTTGAGCATGTTATCTCATTTACCATAACATTAATGTCATTTCTCATCTGAACTGATCCCAAGGCTGTGTTTGACTTGAGGGAGTACCTGGCAGAGGGAGACAGGGAAAAGGCCTGGAGTGCAACCAGTGCAGAGGCACACAGGGTACGTCACCTGTCCCACAGTTCTCTGAACTCCCTTGGAGCTCACAGTTTGCAAACATTGTAGACATCAGGAGGCTGCAGCAGGAGCAGGGAATGTACAGGCAGAGCCCTAATTCCTAATGCAACTGATGCTATGTGTTAAGAATAATTAGAAGATTGTTAGCCATGTTACAGTTACTGTTTGTAAACCCCTTACCTTGTACCCCTGGCCCAGGTTGCTGTACCTTGTTCAGCTGGGCCCTGAGGAGGAGGATGACATAAGGACTTTGTAAACGAGAGAAACCAGAGACTCATGGGATGCACACACACTGATAAAAAACCCTGAGACAACAAGCCACACTAAAAGGAATAAAACCAGTACCATCGAACAAGGAAGACCCAGAGGAGTCCCCGAACTTCCCTCCAAGGGCCAACATAACCACTAAGGGACTCGACTAGGATGACACCCTAGACTACGAGGCCAAAAAAACGAGTCTTCTTAGGAACTCCCATGAGGAAGGAAGGCCCAGCTCTGCCCTAGTGACAAAACTGCACGGATCCTCCTCTTCTACGGTGTCCAGTGGGAGCAGTGGCGGTGTGCGCGACCCCTCGGGCCCCCACCCCAGAGCTGTCCTGTTCAATAAAGGCCTTTTTAAAAGGAGCTGGTCTCCTGGCCCATTCATAACATATAGAACACTGCCCTGGGAAAACAACCTGAGCATCACACCTGGCTTGTTACCATGGGGAGAGGAGTTCAGCAAAGGGGCACTTGGTGTTTGAGGTGTTCAGTCCTAAATATATAAACAATAAGAGTTCAGATAATGCACAGTGCCTGGGTTAGACATTCACATCAGCCACAGGTGTGCTGGCCTTGTGCTCAAAGCACTCTAGAAGTGTTTAGATTTCACCTGGGCAGGAGAAATGCAGTAACAGCCTTACCACACTCCAGATCCTCTCATCTCTGCTTAAGCTGCTGCCACTTGAGTAGCAGCATCCCAGAATGCTGCCAAAGGCCATCAGCAGTGTCACCCAGCCCTACAGCATGGAAACACAAAACCTTCCCTCAAAACTCCGTATTTCCCTGTATTCCCAGTGTCCCAGCCAACACAAAATGAAGCACTTACAGGATCCTGCTGGAGGAATTAACCAATTCTCTCCAAAGGAACAGTGGAAGAAAAGGAAGTTAAAGGTTTTTCTTCAAAATAAACCCATGCGCAGGAAGGACAAGTTGTGTTGCTGCTGACAGTAATCCTAAGGTGAGACAACTCCATTGCAATTCAAAGCAATAAAACCAGCTAAAGGGACAGAAACAGAAACCCTGCAGTAGTGAACTCTCCAAGCAGACTGAGCCAGGGGCAAGTTAATAGAAACCAGATAAATAAATAGACACAGCTCCATAAAGAGAGTGGGATAAGAAAAAAAAGAGAATAAGGGGAAAGACCTGATCAAAACAAGTGGAGGGAACAAAACCAGAAACTCCCACAAATGAAAAAAAATGCTGATGCTCACCACTGAACATGTGGAGGAGTATGGAAATATATCCTGAAAATACAAATTAGGTTTCACCAGAGTAAAAAGTCCAATGCCAAAGGTATGGTAGGCAAGTAATAAGAAATGTAAGGAGATGGAAGCTGAAAGCATAACTACCACAAACTTCAGCTATTTTTCCAAATCCACGTATGTCATTAGAAGGTAATTCTTATCTCAGTCCTCTCAGTTTTCTGGCTCAGTAAAAAGCCCAAGTTTTGGACCACGGCATGGTTCCAGAGGGAGTGAATGTAAAGATGATGGCACAGCTCCAAGGGCTGGTCCTGCAGGATCATGGCTGCTGCAATCCTCATGTCCTTCATAAACAATTGTGTCTTTTACAAGACACAAAACAAAGAGGAATAAGGTGCTGTACATCAGGCAGGGCTGTCCCCCAGCACCTCTTGGGGAGCTTTGAACAGGATCCCTGTTTACAAATGCTGGATTTCCAAAAAAGCCAAAAAAGGCTGCTGCTTTTTTGCAGGCCCCCCAGATCTCACCAATTCCTATGGGGTGATGCTCGAGGGCTGTGATGACCTGGGAATCTGTGCTGTAGTGAGTGGAAAAGACAGTCTGGACACAGAGAATGAGCATGCAGAGTTATATCACCACAGCCATCACTGAGAAAGTAGAAAACCCCCGTGTTCCGTCACGAAATAACTATCCTTCCATCATGTACCTATTCACTGAAGGCTGTTATTCCTGCTGTTTAACAGGCTACCAGCACTTGTCCTGTAAAACCCCATAATCCAGAAGACAAAGGGTATAATTAGACTATCCCAAGAAGTGCAGGTATCTCCTAAAAGCCTGTCTGCTCCCCAAGAAGCAAATCACTTTTGTGTAGAAATGGTTTTCTTTTGATTTAGTTCCCTGCCTTCTCACCAGGTAAGAAGAATATGTGGGAGTGGATGGGTGAGATCGGGGAGAAGCCAATCCATGCCCCTTAACATCATCCAGCTGTTAGGTTGGTTTGCTGTACCCTGGTGTAATTGCATGTTAGGTATCTGTGTTCCCCAGAAAGATAGGATGCACATTAGAAAAACCAGTTCTAACATTCATTTTTCAAGAAAATGTGTAAAGGGTAGCTATTAACCCAAAGTGTTCAAAATCAGTAGTAGAGGGGGGGAGATACGACTTTCCTGTCTCCGTGTCTTTCTCCTTTCCACTCTGCATCCACTCAGTGTTGGTCACCACGAGTACACGCAGCCCTCTTTCCAAAGCAGAAAACCCTCCACCGCTTGGACCTCAGAGCTAACCATTCCCGAACTCCCAAATGCCTCACCACCTTCCCTTCCATGCACTTCCCAGCACTTTATCGACGCTGGGGCACGACGTTTCTCCATAAATCATCTGCAGCACGGGGAACGCTCTGAGGAGGCACCGAGATAAATTCAGATTCAAACAAGCCCGGCCGAGCCGGGAGCCTGAGGGCCTCGGGACAGATCCCATGGCCCGCGGAGGAGCCCCTGGGACGGGGACTGGGAGGGGAAGGAGATGAGGAAGGAGACAAGGACAGGCATGGAGGCAGGGACGGGGATAGGGACCAGGACAGGGATAGGCACAGGGATAAGAACAGGGATGGGGATAGGAACAGGGATGTGCACGGAGATGGGGACTGGGATGGGGGTGGAGACAGGATGGGGAAGGGGACGGGGACAGGACTGGGAAGGGGATAAGGACGGGGACAGGGATAGGGATGGGGATAAGGACGGGGACAGGGATAGGGATGGGGATAAGGACGGGGACAGGGATAGGGACGGGGATGGTCTCGGTGACGGAGATCGGGAAAGGGGCCGGGCCCGAGCCCGAGCGGCGCGCGCGGGACGCACCAACCGCCG